CTTTCTTTCATCTGTCTTCCTGTTGTTTGCCATTTGTTACTGCCAGCCCATCTCAGAGGGGTCATTGACTGCAGGAATGCTATAGGTTGGGCTCCATGTTCACTGCCTCTGCTAGGGCCACAGGAATCAAGATAGTCATGGGCATGTTTTGTGTGGTATATATTTTACCTTTGTTCCAATGCCTTGAGTCACAAAACTGCCTTCCCAACCCCCATTTAATGTGTGATACAGCCCTCTGGAGCCTAGTTTCTGTAGGGGGCACTGGTCTTGCCCACTGCCTTGCACAGGCTGGTGTCCTATATTTGCCTCAGTATCAGGATCACCACCTGCAGACCCCGAGGTTTGGTAACCACAAAGCTTAGTTTTCTGCTTAGCTGTTGCATTCCTTTTTTGCTTCCTGTACCTGGTGTTTCCTCCATAGTCCTTTGAATAAGGCCATATATTACAATTTTTATTAAGTATCTTTTATTGATTATGCTATTACAGTTGTCCCACTTTTTTCTCCCCTTTACTCCTCTCTGCCCTGCACCACCCCCACTGACATTCCCCCCACCCCCTTAGTTCATGTCCGTGGGTCATACATACAAGTTCTCTGGCTTCCACATTTCCCATATTATTCTCAACCTCCCCTATCTATTTTGTACCATTTATGCTTCTTATTCTCTGTACCTTTTCCCCCATTCTACCCCTCTCCCTCCCCACTGATAACCTTCCATGTGATCTCCATTTCTGTGATTCTGTTCTTGTTCTAGTTGTTTACTAAGTTTCTTTTTGTTTTTTATTTTTAAGGTTCAGTTGTTGATAGTTGTCAGTTTGTTGTCATTTTACTGTTCATATTTTTGATCATCTTCCTTTTCTTAGATAAGTTCCCTTAACATTTCATATAATAAGGGCTTGGTGATGATGAACTCCTTTAACTTGACCTTATCTGGGAAGCACTTTATCTGCCCTTCCATTCTAAATGAAAGCTTTGCTGGTTAGAGTAATCTTGGATGTAGGTCCTTGCCTTTCACAACTGTGAACACTTCTTGCCAGCTCCTTCTTGCCTGCAAGGTTTCTTTTGAAAAATCAGCTGCTAGTCTTATGGGAACTCCTTTGTAGGTAACTGTCTCTGTTCCTCTTGCTGCTTTTAAGATTCTCTCCTTCTCTTGAATCTTGGGTAATGTAATGATGATTTGCCTTGGTGTGTGCTTCCTTGGGTCCAACTTCTTTGGGACTCTCTGAGCTTCCTGGATTTCCTGGAAGTCTATTTCCCTTGTCAGATTGGGGAAGTTCTCCTTCATTATGATTTCAAATAAGCTTTCCATTTCTTGCTCTTTCTTTTCTCCTTCTGGCACCCATATGATTCAGATGTTAGAATGTTTAAAGTTGTCCTGGAGGTTTTTAGGCCTCTCCTCATGTTTTTGAATTCTTGTTTCTTCATTCTGTTCTGCTTGAATGTTTATTTCTTCCTTCTGCTCCAAAGCATTGATTTGAGCCTTGGTTTCCTTTCTGTCACTGTTGGTTCCCTGTACATTTTTTGTTATTTCACTCAGCATAGTCTTCACTTTTTCCTCTATTTTGCGACTATAATCAACCATTTTGGTGAGCAACCTGGTTACCAGTGTTTTGAACTGTGCATCTGATAGGCTGGCTATCTCCTCATTGCTTAGTTCTTTTTTTTTTTTTTGAGTTTTAGCTATTATTTCATTTGGCCCATATTTCTTTCTCGGGACACATGTTATGTTTTAAGGAGCAGAGACTTAGATATTCTCCAGGGCGAGGCAACCCACATGGCTGCATTGTGGCACTGTATGTGGGGAGAGTAAGAGGGGTCAGAGAAGGAACAGTGCTGCTTGCTCAGCTCTCAGAAAGCTTTCAGTCACTTCTCCCCCTACCCACAAGCAAATTGGGCTGTTATGATAATGGTGGGTTGCCTTGTGTATGTAATAGGACCCCTTGGATCTCTTTAACGAACTCTCCTATGAGGCTGCGAGTTTCTCCCGCTGCAGCAACCACCACAGGTTTTTACAGCCAGGGTTTTGAGGCTTTCTTTCCCTGTGCTAGAACTCTGGGTTGCCTGGTACGCCTCTCTCCCCAGTTGTTTCTCCTGGTTTATCCAGGAGAAATGTGGGACCACCAACTATCACCTTGCTCACCTGGTCCTTCAGCTGCCACCTTGCCATGGATCCTCTCTGCCCTGGCTGCCCTCCACTGCCTCTCCTACCGTTCTGGATGAATGTTTCTTCTTTAACTCCTTGGTTGTTGGATTTCCATACAGTTCGAGTTTCTGGCAGTCCTGGCTGTTTTTTGTTTTTAAATTAGTTGTCCTTCTTTGTTTGTGTGAGGAGGCAATGTGTATCTACCTACACCTCTATCTTGGCCGGCCACATGTTACAATTTTAAAACCATATTTTACCCAGAATTTCTAGACTTATTATATCAGCCACAAGTTCAGAAATTGCTTTAGATTTCTAAGCTGTTGATTCATTGATTTTATTTTAAGAAAAGGCAAGTGGGGAGAATTAGGTATTAACCTAATACTTAATTTATTTTCTTGTTATATTTATCACCTAAGAATATATTAAATAATTTTTAATTTTAGCATTAATACATTGGCATTTTATTTGTGTCTTAGTATAATAATGTGTAAAGATGTTCATAGCCATTTAAAAAGGTATAGATATCTTTCATTTTTAAATTATCCATTCAAAGACTCAGAAAATCATGTTAATACCTCCCACTATAAATATTAATGCTCAATTTGTTCTTTTATGTTTAACAGCTTTAGTTCATATAATCTGCTACTGTAGCATTTGTTGAAGACTCTGAGGCCTGTATCATATTCATGTTTGAACAGGTTGGAAAGCCACAACAGCCTTAGCTTCATTATTGGGCTTTTAATTAGTGTTTTTCTGAAAATAATACCAAAACATAATGCAGCATTTAGGGAAAAACCTTGAAAGAGGAAGTATATACTATAGCAATGAGAATAGATAACATTTTTAAAATGGGATATAGAGATGGGAAAAGAGAATGGAAAAAGTGAAGGAGTATACATTTATTTTATTTTATAGTGATAACTCAACAGAGACATTATATGTATAAGGTTGATAGAAAAGTGTAGATTTGAATATATTGTATTTAAAAATTTATTTACTGTGGCCTATCCTCCATAATTTCTTGTTCATATTATTTACTGAATGGAAATGAATAGGCAAATTAATAAATAAAGGACAGGTTCTTTTCCCCCCAAATTCCAATATTTCCCTTTAGTTATTTTTAATAATCATAGAGTTGAGTTTAGGAGTGTTGCTCACAGCCTAGAGCATGGCTGATCACGGCTTTCCTCCTCTCTGAACTGTCAGCACTGTGCTAGAACGCCATTCAGTTTGTGCTTTAAGCCAAATACTTATCTCAACCTCCATTATTTTTTTAAATATAAATGAGATGGACAGTGTGCAGGTGTTTTCAAGTATATATTAGGACAGGAAGAAAGAGGAAGAAAGAAGATGAGCTTGTTTCCCAAGAAATAAAATTTCATGGAGAAATTGGAAAATAGGCTTTCAAAATGTCACTGTACATATCCATCATGAATCTGCATTTCACGTTAACCTAATGCAGCATCTCTGTAACCTTCCAAGCAATGGCAACACGACACCTCATTTCCACTGATCTTCAGAGAGGGGTTGGTCTGAATGCTTGCTCCTCTGGGAAGCTGAAAGGTGTTGATGTCTTTGAGCTTAACACTCAGGAGTTTCTGATCTTGGATTAGAGATTTTGGTTAAGGAGAGAAGGCAGGTGGACTTAAACGATGTCATCAATGAAAGGAAGAAAAAAGGAAGAACTCTGCAGGGGGCACACATCCAACTTTCACGCTGTGACTACTCACAGATCTTTCAAAATGTTTTCAAATAGAAAATACTTTTTGGAGACATCTGAGTATTTCCAAGTATTAAGAAAGCTATTTGAAACATTAAGAGTGCTTCAAATGCTTGGAATTATTCCAAGGCCAGGAATTCCAGATGTTTGTAAGGAAGCCATTGCATATTTCTGTTTAAATATTCAAGTGGGCTTTAAGATGAGAAGGAGGAAAAAAAGACACATCCTTCAATTCTTCCTTTTGAGAAACAGGCTAGTACCTACTCCACAAGGCTATCAGGAGGGCAGAGCTAGTGTGAGGGGCTGGTCAGTCAAGGTGAGTGTCCTCCTGGTCCTCTGTTCTCTTTCTACCTCCTAGAGCTATTGTGGCACAAAGATGTGAAGCATTTAAGAGGACATAGCAGTGTAGAAAATGCCGTATATTATTGCTGTTTATCACTGCAGATACTGAATCAATAATGATCTGTGTGATAGATGCCAGATGCAAAGAATAACCAGGCTTCCTGGACATCTGTCCTCCCATAGTCAGTCTCCCCATGCCTCTGGGACAGCTGCACGAACCACACGTCTTTAAATTAAGAACTTGCCTGCTACAAATGTCTTGTGAAAGTGCCAATGTTGTGATAATTCATTTTTTGCATGAAATGCACTTAGTTTTACTTTCATATTCCTGTATTTCATGTCAGATATTCACCATGATGAATTTCTTAGCAACTCAAAGCAAGAATCATCTAGGCTGAAAAAAAAATTCCAGCATCTACACACAGAAGCCTTACAGTTTGGCTTTTGGTATATTCAGAATTAATAAGTGTAGGCTGTCTATTTTTCCCTCTTGTGCTTGCGAGTCCCCAATACTTTGTTAAGGGATGTCAAGCTCTGCATCCCCTTCACTTATCATCACCAGCACTACCACCCAAGAGGGAGTAACTCTGTACACACAGTGGACTGGGAAGCGAGCACCCTGCTTCCTGATGAAGACCAGGTGTGGTAGGGGTTTGCCATGCCCTTGCTGGAGGCCCTTCCCACAGAGAAGACCCTTCTTTGTATGGTTTCCTGTGTGTGGCCTTGTCAGAAGATGGGGCTGGGCCTTCCCTTCCCTGAGCAGGCTGAAGAGGCCCACAAACTCTGCAAGGACTTACTGAGCGTGACAGACTCGTTGATCTTGAAGCTGCAGAGGACCCTGTCCACGTTGCGAGCGTGTCGAAAGCCATTCCCTCTCACGACTACTTGAAATGATTCTGAAATGAAGAGTAACAACAAGACACATTATTTGACTGTAGGTCATTAACCCTGGGTTTCCCATCTTCCTTGATTTAGGGTGTTTATTAACTATTTCACCAGGTTTAAAATATTTGAAAATTAGTTCAGGTTGGAACCCAAAAGTGACCACATGGGTGTCTTTTATCACATATTTACCGGGTGTCCACAAGGGTGACTTCTTACTTTGAATTCCTATCTTTTTGCCTTTGTTCTTGCTGTTCCTTCTACATGCAATGCCTTCCTCTACTTCTCTGTCATTCCAATCTATCAAGTCCCTGTAATTTTAAAAACTGTGATGTCTGCAGCTGAGAACCACGGAGAGGGAGAGGCTCTCCATTTCTTCAATCAACTCAAATACCCTCATGTCTCTTTTACATACTGGATGCCCCTAAGAGATTTCTTTAGAGCTCAAGGTGCCTAACATTTCTAAAAATCACTGCCTTATGGCATTGGCATTGACAGTCTGTCCTGAACATTGTAGCATGTGATTATTACTGTCCAGTGCTGTTCTTCTGTCTTTTCTTCCACCACTAGAAAAACATTCCTCTAGGTAGAGAATTGTTTGATGTTGCTTTGGCCCTCATGTCCCTGCTGGGCACACAGTACTAATACCTTGTGTTATATAGCAGTGATTGTAGTTAGCAAAAAATTAGTCTTGCTTATCGGTGAGCAGTTGTCAAGCATTACCTGTCTGAATTGATGTTGGCCCCTTGCTGTAGTTAGTAGTCACTTCTCTCCAAATAGAGCAGGTAATATATATCACAGGTCTCTAGCCCTGCATGTTAATTTCACATTGGCATAGTGCACATGGAATTACTTCATGGTAATAAAATCCTCATGAAGTAAAAATAATAATCTTAGCAAGATCATTAGCAATAAATAGCATTAAATTGCTAAGATCATTAGCATTAAATAGTCTTAGCAAGCGAAAAAACTAGCCACTGTTAATTAGTTAGTTAAATGTTTAGAAGCATTTGCTTAAGTGTGATGGTGGCTAATAGTCAATGTTCCACTTTCTTTTTTGTCATTTTATGCATATAAAAATCAGGGCCTGGGGTAATGCTGCATGGTATATTAAAAAAGAATTTGACTAAAAGTCACAGGAAAAAAATGCGATACTTGTGAAACTAGATCTTAAACTGGAAATTGCTGTCCAAGTAGAGATTTTTGTTGGAGGAAGAATGGAATTAGAATTAGCTTATGAGACTCTTCCAAACTTTAAAAAAGTGTCATGAATGTATGTCACCTTAATTCCCAGGAATTGATTTAGAGATCATGTTTGCCAAGAGAATAGTAACTGATGTTAGTTGCTCCCTCATTATGTGCCAGGCCCTGTACTCAGCATCGTATGTGCCTGATGTCATTTTAACCTCCTCACAGCCCAGGGAGTTACAAATGAGAACACTGGGGTTGGTGAGGTTACGTAATCTGTCCACACCTAGTCGCTGTCAGAATCAGACTGTAATCAGGGCGGTCGGGTATCAAACTGCAGGCCCTCAGAACTCTGCCACTATGCTGTTTACTGTTATGCTAAAATGGATCCCCATTGTCTTGTGACATATGACTAATTTAGAGACTGATGCTGTGATTTTTTTAAGCCTACTTTATTTTTATTTCAGGCAGGCCTGCCCATTTTGTAGAAAAGTGGAGCTGGCCTGAATGGAAAGCAAGAAATCACCAAAGTAAAAGAACCCAGAGGCACTGCATGTGCCACAAAGAATACGAATTCGAACAAAATGTTTTTTACAAGTATAATGACAACCATAACAATAAGGAACTTGAGAGTCTGACATTTTAAGTAACTTGCCCAAGGTCATGGAATTAGTAAGCAGCAAAAACTGGGACTTGTATCCAAGTGTTCACTGTCTTAGTATTAAACTATATTAATTAAGGTCATGGGCACATGGTTTCAGGACCACATGTCCTATGAATATTAAGTTTTTATATGTGCATGTTAGTGCATATACACAATTGCAAAGTTTACAGGGATGGACTTAACAGTTTTCTTTCTTCAGAGATCTGCCTGGTATGTGACTGATGATGCCCTTGGTTCAACAACACTGTGGAAGATTCTTTTTGTATTTTATTTACTCAAAATAAACCTATAGAAACCTATTTCTGGTTTTAGATTGAATGCTAGGGTTCCAGAAATCTGCCATTGAACACTTTTGTTGATTGAAAATGTTTTCTGCCTCACTTCTGTGCCTACTTCTCTCGTTTCCTCCAAGATCAGCAGACAGAGAGAAGACTGGAAATGCAGTCTTCATGCCGAGGTCTCTTCCCTAACAACATGTTCTAGCATTACCAGTTCAGCTGCTGAGTCCTCTATAAAAGAGGCTGCCCACATGTCTGTTTGGCCCGGCCTCACGGTGTTTAGGAAGAAAGACAGCAGGAATCCATGATGTGTCAATGGTGGAAACCCAACTCTTTAACCCCCCAGGCCTGAGAAGAAGACGGAGGCAGTGATGCTGCAGGAAACACAGAAGGAGGGAAGCGGGGGCAGATTCTGTGTTAGTGCGCACATGTGGTTTCCAGAAGAGCCCAAACTTCTGACTCAGCAGCCTGACCAGAATGTCAGCTCCTCACACATGCAAGTTATGTAACAAAACCCTGTCAAATGAATGTGCCAGCAAGTGAGAACCAGGACACTCCAGAACTAGGACATAGTGATTTAACTCCATTTATCCACAAAGCCCTGAACCTGCCCTTCAAAATATGTACAGCAAAGTGTTTTTAGGCAGTTTGTACATTGCATTACAGCTCTTTCTGCCTAGGGCTTGCAGGGCTTTAGGAAATAATTTCTACTAGAAAACGATCTTTGATCTTTTAAGGTACATATTTTTTAAGGTACAGTATTCTTAAAGCAGATGTTTATTATGATTCTTTTGTCACTCTTATTCTCAATTATAACTTAAGCTTCCTGATGGTAGAGGTCATCATTTCTGCTTCCTCAGAAGTTTGACTTTATCTAACTCAAGGCTGAGTCAGTCTCAGTATAAGCTTATTGAATGAATAAATAAATGACACCTTGGCTTAGAAAGTGAATGAAGGTGAATGACTAGATGGTCATTTATTCAGGTGCTGGTCAGATCTAATCTTGTTTATTTCCTGGGGATTAATAAGGTCAATGAATGAAAAGATGTTCAACATCATTAGTTGTTAGGGGTGTGCAAGTAGAAACCACAGCGCAAAATCACTCTATATTCACTAGAATGGCTATAAAAAAAGAGATGGACAACAACAAGCGCTGGTGAAGAAATTAGAACCCTCATACACTGCTGAGTATGTGCTTTATAAAATAGTTTGGTATTTCCCCAAAAAGTTAAGTAGAATTATCTTATGTCCAGAAATTCCATTCCTAGGTATATATCAAGAGAATTAAAAATGTAGGTCTACATGAGAACTTGTACATGTATGTTCATAGTAGCATTATTCATCATAGCAAAAAATGGAAATCCATCAACTGATGTCTATGGTATTATTACAAGGGAATATTATTCACCCATAAAGTTCTGACACATGTTAAGGCATGGAAAAATCTTAAAAACATTATGCTAAATGGAAGAAGGCAGACACAAAAGGCCATATATAGTATTATTTCATTTATATTAAAACTCTACATTAACAAATCCAGAGACAGAAAATAGATTGGCTATTTCCAGGACTGGAGGTAGGGGAAAACAGAGATGACTATTATGTGTTTCTTTTTGGAGTAAGGAAAATATCCAGGAATTAGACAGTGGTTATGGTTGTGCATCTTTGTGAATATATTAAAAAACCAGTGAACTGCACTTTTCTTCCCTTCATTAAACGTTTTTGACTTCTGGCCAAGAAGGAAGCATAGTTAGATACACTGTGCCTCCTCGCACAACCAAAAGAAGGACAACAACAAGTTTAAAAACTAAAAACAACCAGAACTGCCAGAAAATAGAACTGTATGGGAGTCTGACAACCAAGGAGTTAATCCAGACTGGTAGGAAGGGCAGAGGCAGTCAGCCAGGATGGAGAGGCCTCAAGGCAAGGCGGTGGCTGGCAGAGTATGTGGTCCTATATTTGCATGTGGATAAACCAGAAGGAGTATGGGGAGCAAGACAGACCATGCAACCCAGGGTTCCAGTGTGGGGAAATAAGCCTCAAAATCTCTGACTAAAAAACCTGTGGGGGTTGAGGTAGTGGAAAAACTCCCAGCCTTTCAGGAGAGTTCATAGGAGAGACCCACAGGGTCTTAGAATGTACACAGACCCACCTACCTGGGAATCAGCACCAGAAGGACCCAATTTGCTTGTGGGTAGCGGAGGAAGTGACTGAAAGCTGGCCCAAAGCTAAGCAAGGAGCATTGTTCCTTCTCTGACTGTCCCCTCCCCACCCCACATAAGTACCACAAAGCAGTGACCTGGGTTGCCCTGCCCTGGTGAATATCTAAGGCTCCACCCCTTACTATGTAAAAGGCTTACCATGACAAAAAAAAATATGGCCCAAATGAAAGAACAGATCAAAGCTCTAGAAAAAGTACAACTAAGTGACAAAGAGATAGCCAACCTATCAGATGCACAGTTCAAAACACTGGTAATTAGGATGCTCACAGAAATGGTTGAGTATGGTTTTGAAATAGAGGAAAAAATGAAGGCTATGAAAAGTGAAATAAAGGAAAATGTACAGGGAGCCAGCAGTGATGGGAAGGAAACTGGGACTCAAATCAATGATTTTGGAACAGAAAGAAGAAAATAAACATTCAACCAGAACAGAACGAAGAAACAAGAATTCAAAAACATGAGGAGAGGCTTAAGAACCTCCAGGACAACTTTAAATGTTCCAACATCTGAATCATATGGGTGCCAGAAGGAGAAAAGGAAGAGCAAGAAATGGAAAGCTTATTTGAAATCATAATGAAGGAGAACTTCCCCAATCTGGCAAAGGAAATAGACTTCCAGGAAGTCCAGGAACCTCAGAGAGTCCCAAAGAAGTTGGACCCAAGGAA